GGCGCCTTAGCCAGTTGAGCTATAGGCGCCGAGCCTATTTCACCAACTATTAAAAAATATATATATGTATATAAAACAAGTTACTTTAAAAAATAAAATACCAACATTAAAAAAAATGCTAATCAGTGTTAACTGAGAAAGTCACACTAAATTATATCTTAACTTTCAGAATAATGTTACTGTAGTATTCCTGACCATTATTTTATTTACTTACTAAAACAAAACAAAAAAACAACCTGATACTTCACCAGGGAAAAGCCTACTATTTATAATCAATATTTTACAAAAACACAGCTTCAAATTTAGAATGTGACTTTCTATGTAACACCTTCTATGGGGAAATGCTTTCCTGATCTGTTAAATTTATAAAGTGTTCTCACCATGAATTCTCTGAATCTTTGTAATGATGCTACATACTTGATACATTTATTATTCCTCATTCTTTCAATTATTCTCTTGTCTACAAAGATTTTTGAGTTATTTCTGAAAGCTTTTGCATACTCACTCCAAATAAGATTGATCTCTCTTCCTATAAGACTTTTTTTGACATGAATGCTATTTTAACACTTCCTACTTATAAATTCTGTCTATATTATTATCACCTGAACTCTGAGCATCAGCTTTGCTTCTCACATTTACTTCATCATTCTGATTTCTCATTTGTGAGTTTTCCGATGTATACGAAGTCCTGAATTCCAACAGAAGGATTTCCCACATTCAGAGCATTTCCACGGTTTCTCTCCTGTATGAACTCTCTGGTGTTCACTGAGAGATGACTTCTGAGTGAATGCTTTTCCACACTCACTGCATTTGAAAGGTTTCTCTCCTGAATGAGTTTTCTGGTGTATCTGAAGTGATGCCTTCCTAGGATAGGCTTTTTCACATTCACTGCATTCATAGGGTTTCTCTGTTGAGTGAGTTCTCTGATGTATAATGAGCTGTGATTTCCCACAAAAGGCTCTCTCACAAAAACTACATTCATAGGGCCTCTCCCCTGTGTGTGTTCTCCTATGTATGACAAGGTATGACTTGCTACTGAAAGCCTTCCCACATTCGCTGCATCCGTAAGGCTTCTCTCCTGCGTGAGCTCTCAGGTGTGCAGTGAGCTGTTCCTTCCTACCAAAGGCCTTCCCACATTCACTGCATTGATAAGGATTATTTCCTGTGTGAACTCCCTGATGGACCATGAGTTGTGTCTTCATATTGAAGGCTTTCCCACAATCACTGCACTGATAGGGCTTCTCTCCTGTGTGCATTCTGATGTGAACAAGGAGGTAGGACTTACTCCTAAAGGCTTTCCCACACTCATTGCATTTGTGGGGCTTCACTCCTGTATGAGTTCTTTGGTGTACAACAAATGGTGACTTCAAACTAAAGGCCTTCCCACATTCACTACATTCATAGGGTTTCAATCCTGTGTGACTTCTCTGATGTAAAATAAGCTGTGATTTCCAACTATATGCTTTCCCACATTCGCTGCAACCATAGGGCTTCCCTCCTGTGTGAATTTCCTGATGGACAATGAGCTGAGACCTGAAAGAGAAAACTTTCTCACACTCACTACATGAATAGGGTTTTTCTCCTGTATGAACTCTCTGATGAGCATTAAGGTTTGACTTGGCACTGAAGGCTCTTTCGCATTTAGTGCATTCATAAGGTCGCTCCCCTGTATGAATTCTGAGATGTACAATAAGCTGTGATTTACAACGAAAAGCTTTCCCACATTCACTACAGACACAGTTTTTTTCTATGTTATGGGCTGGTCGATGCTTAAGAAAATATGGTTCTTCATAGCCATGGAACTTATCAGGATTCTTTCTTACACAGCTTCTGCTTGAACCTGAGTATTGTGTCAAACTTTTTCCATGTATGTTATACTTATGGAGTCTTTGTATTGAAGAAAGATGGGTTTTGCTCAGATGAAGTTTTTCAAACACATTATAAGCATAACTTCTCTCAATACTTTCAAGTTCATCTTGATCTTTCTGGTACCATTCTTCCCAGCCTTCTAGAAAAAAACAAATAAAACATACCTTTCAAATCATAAAATGAACTTGTTATGGAATTAAAGAGTTTTACAAGCTTATGACACTGGTTCAAAGGAAATATTGGACAAGCACTGGGGTGAAGGAGCCCACAACAGGGCTCCTGATAAATGCTGGCAGCAAATTAGCAGCGTTCAGAAATGATTTTTAAATTAGAGGTTTAAAAAAATTAAGCTTGCACTCAAGGAGTCAAGTGCCAATTATTTATTTTTTTAATTTATTTTTATTTTTTGAGACAGAGCCTCAAGCTGCCCCCTGGGTGGAGTGTCGTGGCATCACAGCTCATAGCAACCTCCAACTCTTGGGCTTAAGTGAGTCTCCTCCCTCAGCCTCCCAAGTAGCTGGGACCACAGGTACCCACTACAACACCCAGTTATTTTTTGTTTGCAGCTATAGTTGTTTAGCAGGCCCAGGCTGGATTCGAACCTGCCAGCTCAGGTGTATGTGGCTGGCACCTTAGCCACTTGAGCCATAGGAGCCAAGTCTCAATTATTTTATATCTGAATTTTTTATTGTAAGATTTTGCTTAATTAAAAAATGAATTCAGGGCTCAGTGCCTGTGGCTCAAGCAGCTAAGGCGCCAGCCACATACATCTCAGCTGGTGGGTTCAAGTCCAGCCTGGATCCACCAAACAACAATGATGGCTGCAACAACAACAATAACAACAAAAATAGCTGGGCATTGTGGCAGGCACCTATAGTCCCAGCTACTTGGGAGGCTGAGGCAAGAGAATCGCTTAAAGCCCAGGAGTTGCAGGTTGCTGTGAGCTGTGATGCCACGGCACTCTACCCAGGGTGACAGCTTGAAATTCTGTCTCAAAAAAAAAAAAAAAAAGAAT